ACAAAAAACCTGAACATGAAGCCTACTAAAACATTGATGAAAATATCAGAATTATTCATGGTGTTTAAGAGCTTTGTTTGTAGTTGCCTTTTCCCTATATGACTTCCATGTGTGTTTCTCTCTGTGCAGACACAGAGGTGTGTGGATTTGGCTGGCAGAAGTTTCAGTCTCACTGCTACAAGTACTTTAAACACCAGCGTACGTGGGACTCTGCTGAGAGGGAATGTCGGATGCATGGAGGCCACCTGGCCAGCATCCTGTCCCACGAGGAGCAGCTCTTTGTCAACCGTAAGTCTGCTACAGGAACACTGGTTAAGAGAAGGGTTCATTACATGCAGTGCAGTGCAAAACTATGCATTAACTATGAACTGGGTTGCATTTCAACCACAACCATTCACTGATATGTTATAACCCAAAGCAGGATACCTCTATTATACCCCTTTCCCACTGGCTGAAAAACCGTTTAAACCTGGGAAGACTCTTCTTTCAGTGACAGTAGGAACAGCTCACTGACTTGTGTCAACCCGTGCCAAACGACTCGGCAAACGAGTTATAACTGCCTTCAAACGGCTTTGCTCCAATTGGCATGCTGTGGGAACATCAGACTTGGGTTGACCTGCTAAATTACATGATACAGTTGAGTCCAACATATGGACATCAACCCACTGCACGACTCTCATCCGATCTAAACCCGAAACAACTCTGTTAGCATTTGATAAACATGGTGCAGAGCTGGTGAAAGGGATTCGGAGCGACAAAAGAGCAAAGCAATACAGCACACTGATTATGTCCTGGCTTCCTTCCATGTTGCTCTCCATTTTTTACTTTCCTGATTTCTATCACACTGGTGATATAATCATGACTAAACTAGTGGCGAGAGGACAGAAGTTTGCCAGCAAGGGTTTAGACCCAGCTTTTTCTGCCAGTGGGTTGGGAGCCAAATGCCGATTGTTAGCAGGTCGACCCATGTTTAAAAAAAACCCATTAATGTGCTCTTTCCCACTGAGATTATTCAATGGGAAAGAGGCTTAAGAGTCCTCAAGGTCTGTTTCCTCTGCTTCCACACCTGAATCAAATGGCTAAACAGCTCTCTCAGTATGCAGACGGAGTTCTGAAATGACCTGATTATTTAATAATTAGGTGTTTTAAGCAGAGATTAATCTAAAAGGTGCAGGACACCAGACCTTGGACTGCAACCCAGAAACCCTGACAAGATATCTATACCCATTTTCTTCCTGAAAGAGTTTGAACCTCTGCTTTAGTCTCAGTGTGTATTGAGTTTTCTTCCAGGGTTTTTCCTCTTGCTGTTCATAAAGATGCCTTCCCTGATATTATCTTTCCACCCTTATGTTTAATTTCTCAACCTTCTGTAAACCTTTTTGGCAGCTTTCT